GTGTTTTGGAGTTTAATAAACTTTGAATATCAAAATAAATAGAATATTTGAGACTTTAAATTATATTATGGTATTATAACTCTTTTATAGTTATAAATAATGTTTGTAATTTATTTTTATCGGTTTATTGGCATTCTATGTAGTGATTCCGAGATTCAAGCGAAATTGAGGAATCAAGTATAGTAGTCCTAGTCCTCAACTTTGACTTAAGTTCCTACGAGACTGGGACCTAATTTATACCACTAGGTCAAGTGCATGATGTGTGTATATGATTCATGAAAAGGTGTTCGAGTCAAAGAGTGACCCAAATATGGATAGTCTCTACAGTTAAGTAGTTATAGAATTCACATATCAATGTGAAATCTAAGTACACTATCCATTGATTCTAATTGTTTCCAAGTTTCTAGTAGGTTATAACTTAGCTTCTAGTTACTAAGTCTAGTATGTTTAGTGCATATATGTGCAACTAAGTCTAGTTAAATCTAGAACTGACTCGAATTTTGACGGTTGTCACACATATCCAATGGGCCAGCATTGGTGCCTTCGACCCCTTAGTATAGTGAGGATAACTCACCTCTCAACTGTGGAATCGAAGTGATAATCTCAAACTCTTGAACCACGGCCACAAACTCCACCACCTATATTTACCATAAGACCATTTCCATATATTTCTAATCTACCAAAATACCCCAGAAGTCAACTAGTCAACCCTTGGTCAAAGTCCAAGTCAATGGTCAAGGTCAACAGTCCATGTTGACCCGAATCGTCGAGTGCAGTTCACCGACTCGTCGAGTCCTTCCAGAACTCGAGAAGTCATGAAATCCCCAGTTGACTCGTTGAGTTTCCCTGCAACTCGCCGAGTTCATGCATGTCCAAATGTCGGGAAAACCCTAGCTGACTCGCTGAGTCATCCTACTGACTTGCCGAGTCCATGCAGAAATCCTTGCACGACAATCTTCATCAGACTCACCGAGTTGGCCATGCAACTCGTCGAGTCCCTTCAGTCCTTTCTCCATTCAGATGCTTTTTAAGCCACTCAAAGCTCCATATTGCAGATGAAGCTTCCCAAGGCATGTTTATCACGTAAAGTTGCAAACTTTACGTGCATGCAAGGCTCTAAAGGCTTAGAATGTCAAATCCAAGCTTATAATGGGGTTTAAGTCAAAAGGGAAGGTTCATACTTGCTAAAGCTGGAGACTTTATAGCTATAGAGACCAAGATAAGCTCAGATATGAAGTTGCAACTTCAGATCCTAGCCCATAACCAAAAATGGCTAATATATATGCTAGAAAAGCCCTAATCTTAAACATAAAGTGATCTAGAAAGAGGGAAGGTCAAGGTAACGACTTGTTACCTTCAAATTGATGCCAATAAGCAGAAGAGTTAGATCCACCAGGTCCTCTATGCACAAATCCTCTTATACTTTAAGTCTTATTCTTCCAGATCACCTTCCAAGCTTGAAAATAACACAAAATGGAGCACACACACGAATTAGGGTTTCTAGACTCACAAGGGGCTGTAAGGGGAGGCTAAGGGGGCAAAGGATCCTATAAATAGGGTGCAAAACCTCGGAAATTAGGGTTTCATCCTTTAGCTCCAACTCGTCGAGTCGTGTCCTCCGACTCGTCGTGTTGGTCACTTAAACACGTGGCCAAAAACTTTTCTACTCGACGAGTTAGGGCATCCAACTCGTTGAGTAGACCTTTGAAATATAAAAATAAAGCTGTAAATTCCATACCTGAGAGTCGGGGAGTTACAATTCTCCCCCACTTGAACTAGACTTCGTCCTCGAAGTCCATTGCGGTGAACAACTCCGGATAGTGCTCCCGCATCTCAGCCTCCGGCTCCCAAGTCCACTCAAACCCTTTTCAGTGCTCCCATTGTTCCTTTACCAAAGGTACTTCCTTGTTCCGTAGGACCTTCACTTTCCTCTCCAGTACGGCCACTGGTCTCTCTATGTAATTCAGGCACTCGTCAACCTGTATGTCCTCCAAGGACACTACTTCCGCCTCATCTAATATGCACTTCTGCAACTGGGACACATGGAAGGTGCTGTGGATCTAACTAAGATCCTCCGATAACTCTAGTTTATATGCCACCTTGCCAACCCTGGCAATGATCCTGAATGGCCCAATGTAACGGGGGCCCAATTTCCCCCTTTTCCTGAAGCGGATCACACCCTTCCAGGGCGAGACCTTCAGGTGTACCATGTCACCGACCTGAAACTCTAATTCTGATCGGCGTCGGTCGGCGTAGCTCTTCTGTCGACTCTGTGCGGTCAGCAACCGCTGTCTAATCTGCTGAATCTTCTCGGTAGTTTGCAAAACTACCTCCGTCCGCCCCATCACTCTGTGACCAACCTCACCCCAACATATCGGGGTGCAGCATCTCTGCCCGTACAACAACTCAAAGGTGGGGCACCAATACTGAAATGATAACTGTTGTTGTAGGCGGACTCTGCAACGGGTGGGGATCCCAGCTCCCACCGAAGTCAGTGACGCAAGCCCTCAACATGTCCTCGAGGGTCTGTATAGTCCGCTCACTCTGACCTTCGGTCTGCGGATGACAAGCTGTGCTAAAATGCAGCCTGTTAGATTTAGTGTCTAAGCCCATAGCTATAATTGGTATGTACTTGACCCGAGAGTAGCATGGTCCATTTGGGTTGCATGGTACCGGAACAATTTGTAAGGATGGGCTTTTGAGAAGAGGATATTCATGATTTATTAATATATTATAAGTTCTAATATATTAATATGAAATCATATTATTTAATTAGTATTGATCAAGAATTAATTTGGAATTAATTTTGTGATCAAAAGAGACTAATTAAATATAAGGGGTTGATTTGGTAAATCATTCATTCTTATGGTGTGGGGCCAATGATCCATGATTCCTTATTTTGGGCTAAACCCATGTGACAACCCATGGATGATCCATGGAGGTTTAAACTCATGGAGCATAAGGGATTTGGAAGGTCATGCACATTAAGGTTTACATGGTGTAACCCTAGTTTTGTCACACTATATAAGAAACTCATGAGCTCCTAAAATCGGCACCCTAGTGTTCTTGGAAGAGCTATAACTGATTTTTGAGTGCAAGTATTCTCTCACAAGTCCTCCATTGTTGGTGGTGTTGTGTGAAGCATTTGAGGCATCACATTTAGGGTGCTAGGCTCTTAATGGTCCAAGGAATCAAGATACAAGAAAAGGTACGTCTTCTAACTAGATTTTTGTTATACAAGTACCCATGATTGTATGCTAGTTAGGGTAATGCTTTGGAAAATCATTTTGCATGTATAATTAGAGAAAACATAGATCCAAAGCATTTAGGGTTGTATGTGCACCTTAAGGTTGTTAGGATTCTCTAAACCCTTCAGTGGTATCAGAGCCTAGGATTGTTTCTATTATACTTGATGTTACATTGATTTTCAAAGTGTAAAAAATCGATTTATGCCTTCTGCCCAGTGAACTCGCTGAGTCCACTGGGTGACTCGCCGAGTCCCTTTGTTAAATGACCAACTCGACGAGTCCAGTTCATACACTCGCCGAGTTAGTGCTCCGGTGGGTAGATTTTCGACTTTTGGCCTGAAATTGGATTATGATCATTACCCCAAACTGCTTTTTGAACCATGAAACCTATTTTTTCATAAGGTAATTGTCACAACCTAAAATATTCTATCTTTTGAGGTCAAACACATCAACTAAAGGTCAAACTTATAGGTTTCTAGACCTAATATACGTAAGGGTTGTGTGTTAGGAAGAGAACCACATAAGAACCGAGAGCCAATAATTTCATTTGAGCCATAAACCTCAACAAATGAGGTTCACGGCCGTAAACCATGTTCACGACCGTGAATCCTCCTTACACTACTAGAAAAATAGCCTTTTACGACGCGCAATGCGTGTCATAAAACGCTCAGACGACGCGCAAATGCCCGTAAAGGAAGGCCCTGTGATAACAAGAGACGACACGCTTATGTGCGTCGCCTATAGACGACGCGCATTTACGACGCGCATTTATGACACGCAATTCGTATCATTAAAACCCCTGTCAAGAAAGGCCATGTCATAAATGAAGTTGACACACATTTTTGCGTATCGTAAATTTAAATGTTTAAAAAAAATATATTTATATATTTATTAATTTTTAAATTAAATTTGCATTTAATATCTCATAATAGAAATAAAATACCATATACAAAAAATACAATCCATTGCATAAAATTTAATGTCATACAATTCTATTTCTTACAATATATAAATTTGCATTCATCTAATCTACTCTGTGTTTCATACTAACAATTGAAATGAAGATTGAAACACTTGCATTTGCTGCATCTTATCTCTTTCAGGTTGAGCTTTCTTTTCCTCTTCTAACTTCAGAGCTATTCGCTTTCATCAACCCTGTAACATAATACAAAATCACTTGTCATTTTCATTCTACTTTTAAAATTAATTCTTATTAGGACATTCTACTTTTAAACCTACGAATCTAGCAAAATTTTCAAAGAATATAATTTATAATTTTTTTTTATGGAAAGTACATTGCTATTTCTTGAATACAAGATGTTACAAATCAAGAAAGTTACATGGACTGCTGATCACCAGTTTCCTGCATCATCTGAGTATATAAGTACTCATCATGAACTTGCAAGACACGTGACATCAAATAAATCAAAATTAAATTTTGATTTTCTTTTCCTTTCAGTAACGATTAACATTTAACAAAAAAACAAAAGGTCCCACCCCATCACTCTCTACCTTTTAAAAAACAAAAGGTGGCATGTGTCCATCACTCTCACGATAAAAGTGCGCATAATAGCTTACTGGATCAAACGGTTGCTGAACCTGTAAGTAATTTTCTCAAATACATCATTTTTTTAATTAATTAATTAATGGATTATAAATAAATAAATAAAAAGGGTGGTAGGGTCTTACTACAAAGCTTGGGACATGAGAAGCATCGTGTGCCTGAGACTCGGTGTTTTCAAAAGATGTAACTTAGCTTCCAATCATTGGTGGCATGAACGCAAAACTAAAGTTTGGATTTGGTGATATATGAACAGCTGGGTATTGATGACTTGGAGTAGGGAGTGAAGAAGAAGAAGTCTCTTGCTTCGGCTCTTTGTACTCGGGTCCCGCATTCGATGACATGTCACCTTCCGTTGGTAAATTCTCGGGTACATTAGATGAAGATGTGGTAGGGCGTTGAAGATGATCCTCCTCTCCATCAACATTTTCATTTCTGAACCAATAAAGTACATACATTTATCAGAAAATGTTGTCTACTCTAATATGAAATACAACCTAAGTAACAGAAACCTGGATTGCATTTGATGAAGGCCTGGAAATGGAAAAGGAGACATGAGAAGATGATCCTGGTCGTGAAGAAGACTTTGAAACCACATTCTTCCCCACTCCTTGAAGCTCACTGGGTCCCACCTTCCCTTGCTCAGAACCAACTGTCATGTTTAACCATTCATAAATACAATTAATTTACATCAAATACAAAATAATTTCAAATACAAAACAAGATGATAACAAAATGGTGATTAAATAAATTTAAAAAAAAGGTTCTCACAAGAAGGTGATTTGATCACAAGAGGGGTCTCTTGAATTGGTTCAACTGCAGCTACTTTACTCCCAACCTCACATCTAATAGTACCCATAGACAGCCGTGAATCTTGTGATGGCATCAAAATAGGATATTTTTTCGGACAAATATACCCCTGGTGAAGGTGATACTGATCGTGTCTTGGATGCAAATGTGTACTTGGAAGTCTACAAGATTGGCACATGTCCACTTTCAGAAGACCTTTAGGCAACAGCTGGGGATCTTACTTGACTCAACAGGAACAACCTTTGGCACTTGGCCCTCCATCTTACTACTAGATGTAGATGAAGTCACTGCAGATTGCTTCTTATCACTTTCAACAGATGTCTCTTTACTCTTCTGACCCTGAGGAATTGACTGATTAGCCCCTTCCTCTGCACCTTTATTGATTATCCCTTTTTCCTTTCCAGAAAGACCTGTTCTTCAACAGATGGCATCGGTATTTTGCTGCTTATTAAAAAAGGAAGAAATTGAATCATGAAAAAGAGAAGATGGATTGGTTTCTTGAAAAGAAAGGTGGAGAAAGGTTGAAAATGGAACCTGATTGGGAAGAACAAAAAGCTTAGATGCTTCATTTATTTCTTCCAAGGTGTTCCTGAATGCACTCCACCCTTCATCTCTAGTGCTTCCTGCTGGGACAATGATAGTACTCCTGTTTCTACTAACTGAAACTTCGGATACCTGTAGACACACTCCATTAACACATGATATGCTTTCATGTTTCATGTTTCTGAAGATTTTGTTTGTGTACAATAACAGGTTGCATTTATAACCTCTTATTTAACTAAAGCTTTGAAGATTAGCAATCTGAACAAACATTATTGCATTCTCTTTAGGTATATTCATATTGTAATACAAGTACACACAAGTGATTCCTACATGATTATACAGGCACAAACAGAAAAACCTACAAGCTTCCACTTTTTTAAGCATACTGAAACCATAATTACACAACTGCGTACCTTGAGAAACCGACCCCTCCTGTTTTCCCCAATGTCAAAGTAAAACACCCGAAGAAAGAACCCTAATCAGAAAGGTAATTGGACAGATATGAAGGTTATTTGAAAGAAAAATCTATGATAATTGTTGAAAAAACTAGGAAAGTCAATCCACATTTTGCAAACTAATTAATATGAAAGCGTATGTATAGTATGTGTAATGTGTAATATAATAAATTGCCTTGCTATCAAGATGGAGTTCCTTGCTAGAACTATGTTGGTCATCAGAAGTGACGTAGTAGTTGGAGATATCAAAGAACCAAGAGACTCCATTGAAAGGTACGATTATAGTGGACCTTATCGCTGACGTCTTCTCCAATATCTTCACGTAACGACCGCGTGGATTCTCCTTGAGATCAAAGTAAATCAGCTTATGCTCCACTTGTAACATCTTAGACAACAGCTCCACGTCATTCCCACTGTTTCCTGCACCTCCGCCGCCGCCCGAGTTAAACTCCATCTCCTTGAGATCAAAGTAAAAAAAGAAGCTGATGACATCACGTGAGGATGGTTTGGGCTCGAAACGTAAAGCTTACATGGAAACCAGATCTTGGTGAAGACCAAAATATGCAAAGAAATAGTGTGTTCGTCGCCCCTTACGTGTTTTGAACCAGACGAGAGGGATGAGATGGAAATACGAGAGTGAGATAGAAAAAATTACAGTCGGATTTAGGAACCCTAAATCATCGGCTCAAATTGATAACTAGGAGGTAAGAACCCTAAATCCTCAGTTCATTAGGGTCGAATTAAGAGTGTAAGAACATGTTGGAACCGAGAATTAGGTTTTTAGTGGAGGTGATGGATCGAGGAATTGAGGAAGCTGTGGATGAAGACGAAGGCCCTAATTCGAAGAGGCGGGGAATTTTTGGGATGAATCGACCGGGGTTAATTTTTTGGATTTCTTTTTCCCCCTAAAAATGCGTGTTTCCTTAAAAAAATATAAAGCGACACAGTTACACGACACACATTTTTTTATAGGTGCCCTCCGTATTTTTTTTTCTGACACTAATTTTAGGGCACGCAAAAATGTGTGTCCTCTATCCTTCAAATTTTGCAAAACTGACATTAATTTTTAGGGCACGCACAAATGCGCGTCCTCTATTAGTGTGTGTCATTAATTGCGCGTCGTAAAAGGCTATTTTTCTAGTAGTGTTAGGCCGTGAACTCTATGTATATATATGAGTTTGGTTGATTTTTCCTTCACTTCTTCTTCTCTTGGCCGCAAACAACCCATTCTCTCTCAAGTATCATAAACCAAGAACACCATTTTCACTTCTTTTCATCCCTTTCCCTTGTATCTCCTTAGAATACAACTTAGGATCTTCAAGCACTTGCCAAACAACAAGATCTTCAAGTGTTCTTCCCTGAAGTTGGGCCGTGAATCCTTAATGTTTGGGCCGTGAACACCCAAGTGTTCTTAGGCCGTGATCACTCCATAGGGCCGTGAACTCCATTTCAGCCTCCTAACTTGCTTCTAACACTCTTTTGGTGAGTTATTCTTGCACCCTAGGTTGTTTCCTAAGCACCTTTGTAGTTATATTCACTAATTTTGTGCCTATATGTATCATAATATGCTATTTAGGACTCGTTTGTGCTCCTGGACTTCGTTCGTGAGTATAACATCCTTATTTCAGTCTTCAATCGAATCACTCACATAAGGTGGGTTCATACCCCTATGTTTTTACCATTTTTTCAATGTTTTAAGGGGGACTGACAATCCCGCACCTTGCTGTTAGCTACAGTGGGACCGGCAGGTCTGCGGGTGACAAATGTCATATTTTTTCGACACCTACAATACATCGTGTTTTATACTAGTCAAATTTAGTATGGTAATATGAACTCACAATAGTATCAACTAAGACGTCTAGAGTACGGGATTTCATAAATACAGATAGTTTTACTAAACAATGGAACTATACTACACAACTTTCCTAGTAACAAGAACAAACAGTTTAGAAGGGACCTATAATGCTTACTTTATGATTCTTTGGTTCATACATCAGGATTATATATCAATAGGATCCGATAGATATTAGACTGTGTGACTTCCGCCTTACTTCATGTTCATTGTTTGGTTGTGGGCTTAGAGTAGATTCACCCAGTCTACTATCCATTCGATCTTATATATATATATATATATATATATATATATATATATATATATATATATATATAATCCATATGCACTAAGTAATCATAGGGGAAACAGGTATGGGTCAGGTCATAACAAACAAGTACAACATACTATCATCTAGTACAAAAACATACTTTTCGGATGGAACATTAACTAAGTGCATTCATATACAATAGAGTTCATATAAATGCATCAGTTTTACATTACTTTCTAAGTTCAATGTAGATTTCACTCAAAAAGGACATTTATTTGTTAATTCTATAATTCCTTAGTTTATACATTAGAGTTATATATAAATAATATCCGATAGGCAGTGAAATGTGTGACTTCCGTCGTACTTCCTGTTCCTTGTATGGTTGTGGGCTTAGGGCAGATCCACACATTTAACTATCTGTTCGATATTAGGTTATATATAGTTAGTATAAACTAAGTGATCGTAGAATGAACTATTGTGGTTACCATTTTACTAAAGAAAATATAAGATTTTCTTAAAGAATATTTTCATCTTATTTCAAAGAACTATTACAGTTAACTCCGTAAGTACCTGGTGAATACATCAAGGTTATATACAATGAGGATCTAACAAACAATAAGATGTGTGACTTCCACATCATTTCCCGTTCATTGTTTGGTTGTGGGCTTATGACGGATTCACACAATCGATTGTCTATTTGATCTGGATTGTATATAACTCGAATTCGTTAAGTACTCATAGAAGGAATTGTAAGAGTCATTTTCGTAGCATTCATCATATAAGAAAATATTGGATTTTCTGGAGGAACAAACTAAGGTATTCAAAGAACAAAGAGTATACCTTTTATAACAAAAATACTTATGAACTCACCAGCTTAAATGCTGATCTACTCTTTCAAAATAACTTGTATTCTCAGGAAACTAGTAGACAGGTACACGCTCAGGGATTCAGAAGATGGAGCATGGTAGCTTCATGTCTTAGTTTTGTTATTTACTTTTGGTGTCAATCTTTTGTGAATCAAATCCAATGTAAACACTTTAATATTAATGCAATGGTTGTTGTTACTTTGATTACTATGATGCATGTGTTGTGATACTGAGCATGACGTCCTCCGCCCCCGAACGTTTCTGCCGTTCCGGTTTAGGGGTGTGATAGTGTAATGACGTAAATTCTCAAAACAATTTTTCATTTCCAAACATAATAAATTTCATAAAGTAATTTCAAAACTCATTGTATCAAATATTATCTCAGAAAACATATCCCAGATTCTCAAACTCATGGATCTTCATCCTCGCTGGTACCTGAAACACATATCACACAATACGGTAAGCATAAATGCTTAGTGAGTTCCCCAAAATACCACATACAACACATACGCCACTCAAGGCTATATCTCTACAAGACCTTCCGGTCAATGTGTCTCAGGGGGCTTCCATCCCACAATCCTTGTAGACCTTCCGGTCCCACTTCTCTGACCTTCCGGTCCGTATCATCTTGACCTTCCGAACCATACACTGTTGACCTTCCGGTCCATATCATACTACTCATAACATAACATAGCACATTCATATCATATAACAACATACATCACACACTCATCATAGCACATAAGACCTTCCGGTCACACATAATTACCACTCTAGGTAAAGTATAGTGAGAAGACTCACCTCGTATGATGTCGGATAACCTCTCGTGCTCGATAACCCGACCTAGCCTCCTCCTATCAAAATGATAACATCTCTAATCAATACTTTCTCTTGTCCTCATCTCTAAAGAATGGGTAGAAGACCATTCTACCCTTCCCTGACCTCTTTTGAATCAGCTTGACCAAAACCCTAAGGTCAACTGAAGTCAACTCTAGTCAATGGTCAAACTTTGACCAGACTCGTCGAGTGCACTCGGGTGACTCGGCGAGTCCATGCGTGTTCTCAGAATCCTCCTAAGGCCTCACTCGACTCGTTGAGTTAGCCTTTCACTCGACGGGTTACCACTAGTCACGAATCGCGGGGCAACACGACTCGACTCGTCGAGTCCCCCTTTGAACTCGGCGAGTTCCCTTCATGGCAACACTCAAATGACCTTCTGAGGTCAGATCTGCTTCTCTAACTTATAGATCTGACCTTCTAACACCCAATAATCACGTAAAGGTTCAATCTTTAAGCTCATGCAATGCTCATATGTCCTTATTTGAAGAAATAGCTCCTAAAATAGCAACCTAGGTCCACAACTCCAAAGGGACTGCATAAAGCTGGAAGGTTGGGACTCTCTGGACCTCTTAAGGTCCAGATCTAATGCTTATTCCAGATTGGGACTTCATATACTCCATATTCCATTGAGGAAAAGGGTCAAGAAACCCTAGATTCATGCAATCAACACCATACTAAAAGAAAGGGCCGATTTGTTACCTCAAAGTGAAGCTCCTTGCTCTAAAGTCTCAGAATAACAACCTCCTTTGGTCCTTCTTGCTGAATCCCTCCTCTTCCTTTGCAAAATCACACCAATAAAGCTCAAGATGGCTCTTCTCTCACTCTTTATGCTCTCTGGTTCGTAGGGATCTCTCAAGGGTGAAGGTGGCCGCCAATGAAGGCCATAAGGACCCTTAAATAGGGCACATGCCCAA